GCCGATTGGTTCCTTTTCTTGCTCCTTTCCATCATGTGCTTGAAGTAAGTTGATGGGACCATTATGCTCTTGAGTTAATTGGTTGAGTAGTTTCTTTCCTTGGGCTTCTTTAGTGGATCCAAACCCATCTTCCTCATTAATCCAAGATTAGATTAAGAGTTGGAGAGCTTGTTGTAATCTTTTGGTCTGGCTCCTTGTTATGGGCCCACTTGGCATGATGATGTCTCTTCCAAGTGGCTCAAGGTGATCCATGCTCACATCAAGTTTCCTGTTTTTTCAGAGTCCTGCTCAGGACAAAGTAATATCCAAATTACGGAGTGTCTTTCTGGAAATTGTTCGTGAATATAAAGTCTACACTGAGGAAGAAAGGAAGAAGGTTAATTTTTGTAAATTGAAATATATTTTATAAGATGTTATTGTATGTACTATAAGATTATTAACTCATTGATTTATAAGCAACTGCAGGTCGTGGCAGCTGGTGGACTCCATGTTGTAGGGACTGAGCGCCATGAATCTCGAAGAATAGACAATCAGGTTAACTAGCACATATATATTATAAGGTTTATACTTGCAAGACTTCGTTATTCTTTTTCTTTTGCATAATATTTACATTGAAAAATTCTCTGTGGTATGTGTTAAATTGAACTTTCATGTATCTCGTGCAGCTGCGTGGCCGAAGTGGGCGCCAAGGAGATCCTGGTAGTTCCCGCTTTTTCCTCAGTCTTGAAGATAACATTTTTCGGATTTTTGGGGGAGATCGAATTCAGGTTTGGCCTAGTAGTCTACTTCTCTAGTTGTCAATGGAACTCTAGGATATAGCTGTTAAAGAAATTATTATATTAAAATTTCTAGGGTTTGATGAGAGCTTTTAGAGTCGAAGACCTACCCATTGAATCCAAGATGCTTACTAAAGCACTAGACGAGGCTCAGCGGAAAGTTGAGAATTACTTTTTTGACATCCGAAAGCAATTGTTCGAGTATGATGACGTCCTTAATAGCCAAAGGGACCGTGTTTATACAGAGAGAAGGCGAGCCCTTGAATCTGACGACCTTCAGTCTCTTATTATTGAATATGCTGAATTGACCATGGATGATATTTTAGAGGTGAACTCTTTGACATTCATTGGTCAGATTGATTTCTCTTTCTTGCTTTCATAATATCTGTTGATCTCCTGTGTAATCGCTATCTTAGAAATCTTGGAGTATTTCACATGCTGGAATTCTTACTATCAACAGGCAAACATTGGTCCTGATGCTCCAAAAGAAAGCTGGGATCTTGAAAAGCTTATTGCAAAACTCCAGCAGTGAGTGACAGCTTTCCTTTTCAGTGCCAAGCATGATTGAAAAAACAAAGAAATGAAAAATTCCATATTTTGTATCATAAACATCCTGCATTTCTAAGCTGATTGAGAAATGTATCCATTATGTTGGGGAACTCTAACTGATATAATAGTTCTTAAGTAAATTATGTTCCCTAAAGTAATAACAAGATGCTTACTAGGAAAGGTTCAGAATCGTGCTTTCTGTACTATTTAGTTTCTAATATGGTGATCGCAAGGTCTCCCACTTGTTTTGCATATTAACTTCAAAATAACTTTGCTTAGACGAGTATTTTCCCATGGTTGTAGGTACTGCTATCTGTTAACTGATTTGACCTCAGATTTGCTAAGAAGCCAGTGTTCAAACTATGAGGAGTTGCAGGATAATCTTCGCCTTCGTGGCCGTGAAGCATACTTGCAAAAAAGAGTAAGTGTACTTGTCTCACCAATCCAATCCACAAGGCTGTTTGTCTTTCACTCTCAGACACACTGCTTAGTACGTGTAAGCTAAAGTTTTATGATCAGACAATGGTATGTAGAAGCTCTAGCTTTCGAAAAGGCAAGGGAACCTAAAACACCCGCCGTCCCAAGGGACTAGAGTGACAGATGTATCATGCAAATATGAACTGTATGCCTGAATTTCTGTATCTGTGACATGCCAAGAAATCATCAGTTTGGTTTCCATGTTGATAAAATTTTCATAATTAATATGCATGGAAACAAGGACCTAAGGACAAGATCAATTTGGTTATTATGTTGAATAAGCATAATGTTAAATGGGGGTTGGTTGTTCCTGCTTTCAAGCATTTAACTTCCTAGTACTTGTTTGAATCTTGACAGACTTAGTTATTTAAAATGGGTTTTAGGACATTGTGGAGAAACAAGCACCAGGCTTAATGAAGGAAGCGGAGAGGTTCTTAATTTTGAGCAACATTGATCGGTTGTGGAAGGAACATCTGCAAGCACTTAAGTTTGTACAGCAAGCTGTTAGCTTACGTGGCTATGCACAGAGAGACCCACTTATCGAATATAAGCTTGAGGGCTATAATCTCTTCTTGGAGATGATGGCACAAATCAGAAGAAATGTCATATACTCAATATATCAGGTCTGTATTAAACCATGTATAAAAATCAGAGGCATATCCCGGAAGATACATTATTTAATATGTGAGAAGTTTTCATATTTTCAGTTTCAACCAATGCTAGTAAAGAATGATAAGGAAGAAACTCAGAGTGAGAAATCTGGCAAGCTAGTTAGTAATGGAAGGGGTGGTAAGAAGAATCCTAATCCAGTTGGTGCTGCTGAGCCATCTGCATCAGCTGCCAGCCCTCAAGCCAGTGCATAGAACTTGTGACAAGGAAGGGGTTTGCGAAAAATCGTAAGGGGTTCAAATACTTTGGGTTGTTGACTATGCAATGCCTTGCAAATTACATAATCATTTGTCAAGAGATGGAATTTTGGTAGTTGTAAACTATGTGGATATAGGATAAGTCTCTCCTACTTGTATCATAAGTGAACCACACCACTGAAATTATTATATGGAGTACAATTCATGTAATTCAACCAAATGCCACAGTAGCATGTGAAGCTTTTAGAGGAATAACGAAGGCATTGAGGTTTCTGTAAACAATATCTCTGATTACATCAGAATATTCATACTAGTAGATAATTATGTCTTGTAGGGTCAATAAGAAAGCTCCATTCCCACTGTTAAAACAAGTGGGAGAATCCAAAAAAAATCTCTGCTTAAATAATGAATGAGGACATCCACTTTCAGCAGACTCCTTATAGAAGAAAGAAAGAAAAATACATTAAAAACCTTCAGATTTACATCAACTAATAAATCAAATATACCTTAATTCAAATATTTGAAATCTTATCTATAAATTGGAACAAACTAAACCCTTTGAAATTTCGCAATCGTAACCACTCTGGGACTATACTATTGTCGACCTTAATGAGAGGTGTAAGACTATACTCCCATTATTATAGAAAGGGTCTCCCTCCAACCCACTTCATTTTTGGTTCTTCTGCCATTCCCTTCTCTTTTGCTGTTAATGCATATGAAGCAACAGACATCTCTCATATCTTGACATTGTCCTTCACTACACCGGCTTCATTGCCATGAAGAATGTCCTCAAGAAGCTGATTGATGGCATTTCCTCTAGCCTGCATGAAGGGATTCCAGGTTGAAATTCAAATAAACAATTATGATTCAGCAGCCATGGAGACTTGTGATTCAACTCATTAGCCCTTACCTTCACTCCAATAACAATGGCCGTTTTAAGCTTGACAAGTTCACCTAATCTTAAAGACCCCTCCTTATTATCCCTGAGAAAGATTACCGGTACCTTTCTTGATGAGGCCAAGGTAGGCAAATGCTTTGTTAGCCACTGTGGATTGCAATCCGCAGCAACCAGTATTACCTAATGTGTCATAAGACATTAACTTCCTTGAATCATAAAACGTAGAATCCCCATTAAGTGCGACTTAAAACAGTATTAGTGTATGACTCTCTTGGTTCTCATCATTTGACCCCTTAAATTTAGAAGCAATTGATTAACATAAACTTCTATACAAACTACCAATGTAATCAGAAGTTCATTGATATCTTACCTGCAAAATATACTCTTGAAGGCATTACTCTTAACAACTCTAGACTATAAGTCAGTACCATACCGAGTAGAAAACCCACAACTTAAAATCAATACAGGTCTCAATTATCTTATTGCAGAATAAGTTTAGAGCAATAATAAACCTGAAGTTGAACCGGAGGAGCTTTCCGGCTGCTGCGAAAAGAGTTTTGAGGAGAGCTTCTGCCCATACCAACGCATGGTCCCATTCTTTCAAGCACACGAGTCACGTCATTGACTCCAATTGCAAATTGTTGCTAGATAACAGCACAACAAAGCCCAAAATAAAACTTTAGATACCCATCAGAAGTTAACTTTTTCACTCCCTCAGTTCTACCACTGTAGGAAAATCATCTATACCTTGTTTTTTTGCATCCTATTAAGTGTTTGGATCTCTGGTGTTATATAATAATAATAATAGCAAGCGATTTACAATAGATTTTATTGCACTAAGGCTAAGGCGAGGAATTGGGAAAAAACGCACTTTAGATACACTGGAGTTAAAGGCTTTCACGGTGTAAGTAGAGGTTTTTTTTCTTCCTCTACTAGTCTTTAGGTTTTAAGGAATGGCCGGGAGAATTTGCAAGATGTGGCACTTTAATAATAGAATAAAATGCTATACTTTGCCTGCCATCTTATTAGAAGAATCCTAGTTTCAAAGCTGCCTAGCCTTATTATGATATAGGACTGAAAAATTATTTAGCATGAAGCAGAAAAACGAAAAAGAAAAGGTACCTTCAGCCACATTTTTTCAGGCAAAGAGTTTACATCTAAATGTCTTCCTGACTCGATACCCCTGTTTAATATGATAACCATATAAGAACCCACTTCTATTCATGAATAAAAACAAGAATTACACGAAGAAACAAAGGAGAAAGAAAGAGACACTGTTTAAAAGTCTCAATTCTCTTCACCTCCTGATTAATTCGAGCAAACGAGCAAGACGTTCCCCTCCGAAGCAGCTAACGAATATAAAAGAGTATCAAGAATATCAGTTCTGTAGTCAAAATCAGGACGACGGCCCATAAAAAAAAAAAACATACTCCTGCTCTTCAGGAAGAGAGACAGATTTCGACGCATTACTTTGCTTCTTTCTCGAAGATTGGAAACCGTTTACATTCATTACTGCAGCGAGCAGACTCCGGTAGCTCTGACAAAAGTTCTGAAAGAGAAGAGAGAGAGAGAGAAAGAGATAGAGAGCGATTGACAGTGAGATTGCGGCGGTAAAGAGCTTTGATCAACTATTACAGGGAGTTTACTGATATTCGTTGGAGACATGGATAAAAAGCCCGTATTTTTCTCAGGAAGACGATGTTTTTACAAATACAAAGATTTACTTATAATTTTTTACTTTTTGAAGTTAGTTGTTAAGTTAAAATAAATAAATTTTAAATATATATTATCACCATATAACAAATATATTATTGAAATTAAGGATGTGATTGTTTTGGAAATTGAATTTACAAATTAGAAATAAATGAACTAAACTTTAGTTTCAGAAATATGGTTTGACATTGAATTTTTTATGTAAAAAACAAATAATTTATTTGATTATATATTATTTATCTTTTATAATTGAACATTATTATATTGAATATTGCTATATTCTAATTTTATTAATGGCAATAAAATTTATTTGAAATTGATAATATTATCCTTTTTATTATAATTTTCTTTTATTGTGGTAAAAAAGAAATAATTAAAAACTAATAAAAAGAAAAAGAAAAAGAAAAAGAAAAAGAAGAAAGAAGAGAAGAAAATTAAAAAGAAGTAAAACCCAACGTAAATTCTGCCCACATCCAACATGTAGGCCCGATGCACCCCAAGCTGCGGGCATTAAACGACTCCGTTTCAAAGGTATTTTATTATCCTTCATTCTTTCGGCTATAGATACAACGGATGAGACTAGCTAGGCTTAGGGAATTAATTTGAAAAAGATACGAAGGATTGTAATATATTTACAACATACAGCAAAAATATAAACAATTTAATATTATTTATTTATATTTTAAAAATTATATTATTTATTAAAAATTAAATTTAGAATATAGTTGATAACTGATTTTTAAATTAAATTTTTTTAAAAATATAAAAATTATATGCATATTTACATTGAAACTGATATTTGATAATAAATTTTTAATCAATAAAACATGCCAATAAATTAAATAATATTTGTATTAAAATTGTCTCCCAAAATTTTAACAAATTGAAATAACAAAAATTTCTCACTTTTTCTCTTGTTTTTAGTGTGCGGCTACAATTTTTCAGTACAAAAATTTGATATGTATATCTTATATATATATATATATATATATATATGCAGCACAATTAGGTTTTTTTAACCTAATTATCAAGTCTTTTGGACTTCTACCGTCGACGTCCAAACTAATTTGGTTTTTATCTGTTTTTTATTTTTTTAATAAAATATTTTATAAATCAATTCAATCCTAAATTAAATTTTATAATAATCTCTATTATTATAATAGTCGCTCATATTATATTATTATATTAATAATATAATAATAAAAAATATAAATATTAATTTTTTATTTCTAAAATAGAAAAATTCAATTTATCTCTAATATTTGTTAGTGTGCAATCTCATAAGTTCAATACTAAATTGATAGTAAATTGGTCAAACTAATTTACTAATCAATGTTGGTGTCTAACAACACTATTTAATAACCAGATAGTATGAAATGTACAATTATTCTTAAAAATTTGTTAAAAAAAAATGTAATATTTTTTTTTATCATTATTGCTCCCGGTTAACAATATGATATATTTTAACTATCAAATCCTAATATATAACCAACTATATTTCATGTAAATGATAACTAACTAATGAATAATATAAGAAACCCATTTCTTTTTTCATTCAATTGCCCTAGGTAAGGTTTTAGTGTAGTCGTTATAATAAATGACAACATAAACTTAAATTCATTATCAAAGTTAATAGTGTTCATCTTGATCAATCATCTTATAAGTATTTAATCACACTCAATATCCTTTTAACTATAGTTTATGATTATAAGTGTACATAATCAAAATATGATAAATGACTTGTTAATTATTATGATAATCTCAAGTTAAAAAAAATTTTTACATTTCATCATTTAAGAGAATATTTTATTGATAGTTTAAGATAATATTAATCATTAAGAATTCTTAATTGGGTTAGTTCAATAATCATATCTTTATATGCATAATTTATATATGTGATTTAGTTAATGAGATTAACTAATTTTTATCTTATAGAGACCATAATATATATATTGATCGTATTGGATCATTAATATCCTATTTTAATGATCTAATGATAAATAATATTTTAGATTAAATCATAAAAACCTTTACTCTCATTATCAAGATCTTCATCTTGATGTAAAGTCTCTAAATTTAATCAAGAACTTTATCATATAAATTAAACAACAAAATAATAAATATGATAATAAAAATATTATTGTCATATATTAAAATAAATTATCAAACAAAAATATATTCAATATAGTACATGAATAATTAGGATCTTAGGCATAACAATTATATTCCTAACAATCTCCCACTTGCATTAGATTCAATTTATCATGTTCTTCATTCCCAATGTCTACTTATACTTGTCAAACTCCTTTACACAAAGAGTCTTACTGAATGGGTTAGTTGCATTATTTTTTCTATTAACCTTTTGAATTTTAAAATCCCAATTCAATGATTTCCTTGATCTTGTGACTGCAGAATGTGTTTGGATTTTGATGCAATCTCAACTCTTTTACTTGAACGATCACTTCAGTATTGTCACACAATAATGGAACTTGACTTTCTATTCAAGGAACCATACTAAGTTCAATTAAAAACTTTTTCATCTAAATAGCTTCATGGACAACTTCACTTACCCCTATATATTCTGTTTCGGTCATTAAATCAACTACTATAGCTTGTTTGGAACTTTTCTAACTCACTGCACACTATTTAAAGTGAACACATAACTAGGTATAGATTTGCTATCATCTTTATATATGATAAAACTTGCATTGATATAATATTCTAATTTTAACTCAAACTCTCCATAGATGAGGAATTAGGCTTTAGTTCTTCTTAAGTGCTTGAGAATGGTCTTTACCACTTTTTAATATTCCTCAGCAAGATTTGCCTGATATCGATTAGTCACTCCTAGTGCATAAGCCACCTAAGGACATGTACATATCATGGTATACATGATAACTCCCACTACATTAGCATATAAGACTCTACCTATGTGTTCTCTTTCTTTAGAGGTTTTAGGATAATTCAACTTATCTGGTGCATAACGTTGTTTAACAGACCTTTTAAGAGGTTCGTGTACAACTTGTTCACCTTGTACTATATTAGATTACTGTTCAATTTGATTTTGAATAAGTTCATTAACTAGTTCTTGAACAACATTTGTTTCTTGAACCTCAACCATTGGAGATGACAACTTCCTTGTCATCTTCAAAACGTAAAGGTTACTCATCTTGTTTCTCACGATCCTCTTCTTATATTGATTTATTAGTTTCTTGAACTTTAATCAAGTTCAATTCTTTCATCATGATTTCCTTCTAAAAAAAATTTCATTTCTAAAAAGATTGCGCCTCTAGCCACAAACACTTTATGGTGATATGAGTAATAGAAATAATATCCCATTATTTCTTTGGGATACCAAATGAATCTACACATATTAAATCTTGAGTCAAGTTTATTTATTTACAATCTCTTAGTATAAGCTGGACAACCCCAAACTTTAACATGCTTAAGGCTCGGTTTATGTCATTTATATATCTTATATGGTGTTGTAGAGACTCATTTAGTGGATACTTTATTTAGTATATATGCTGTAGTTTTCAAAATGTATTCCTATAAATTAATTAGAAGATCTGTAAACTCCATCATTGATCTCACTATATCTAATAAGGTTTGATTTTTTTTTTTTTCCGAACACACAATTGTGTTGTGATGTTCCAGGAGGAGGGGTCAACTGTAAGAGAATCCCATTCTCTTTGAGATATATAATAAAATCATTATTAAGATATTCTCCTCCTCTATAAGACCTTAACACTTTAATACTTTTACCATTTTATTTTTCAACTTCATTATGTAATCTTTTGAACATTTCAAAAGACTCAGATTTATGTTTCATAAGATACACAAATCCATATATTGACATATCATCAGTGAAGGTGATAAGTAAGAATATCATTTTTTGCTTGAATTTTTATGGGGCCACGAACATCAGTATGAATTAGTCTCAATAATTCAGAAGCTCTTTCTTCACTTTCAATAAATTCGGTCTTTTTTCCTTTGGGACAAGATTAACAAGTTGGATATGATTCATAATCATATTTGTCAATGTAATTTTTTTTCTACAACTCGTTTATTCTTTTCTCTCCAATATGAGCAAGCCTACGATCCTAAAGATATGTATGATTTACTTGATTATCTCTTTTTCACTTAACACTCTATTTGGATGATTTTTGTTATAGGTAATTAATGTAAGGTAATGTATGGTAATTGTGTAGGATAGTAATTATAAAGTTATATCATGTTTGGAAAGATGATATATTAATGCACGTTAATGACAACTGTTTTATTTGAATTGATAGTATGATTTGATTGTATATTAAGTCAAATTATTAATTCATTCAAATCTTATTATATGTAATATTAAAAAAAAAGACTCATTTAACTTGAAAAATTATTTAAATTGTAATTTTTAATGTTTTTTTCTTAAAATATCAAAAATAAATTTGTTATGAAAAATAAAAATTTATTTATTTTATATTTAGTATAAAAAATCAATTTAAAACTACAATTTTTTATTTATGATTATAAACTGAAAAAAAATCTAAAAAATTATCTATTACATAATATTTATTATTATGATTTCTATGACATAAATAAATAAATTTTATTGGGAACAATTTTCAGTTTTGATAATTTTTAAATAATTAAATACTTACGTACATTCAATCAACTTACATATTTTAATCATTCTCTTAATAATATGTATTCGATCAATATAAGTTATTTAATTTTTCACCCATTCATTTGGATTTGAACTTCGTTTGAGGTGTTTACTTTTTTACCCATTTGTCTATAAGTTATTTATTTTAGCTGATATATTCATAAAATAATTATATTAAAATCTAAGATAAATTTAAATTTATATATGAAATCTAATATTTATTACAATTTAATTTATAATATTTTTTATTATAA